CTTACTGTGTACCTGTATATCTTAATGTATTAGAGTGAACTAAACTAAGTGCTCTAAGGGAAGAACAAAAAACAAAGTGGTCGACTGAGAAGACAGCAACATGTAAAACAAATCCAAGTAATTCAAAGATAAAGCATTAAGACAAAAATAGGGTTTTCTGAAAAATATGCACTGACTTACCCTCTCTAGCTCTCCTCCATGACAACAGGTCATGTAATGCATCAAGTCAATTGTGAACTTTTAAAAACTAGACCTCGCAAACGGAGCTCAAAATTCAGGTTGGGATAATCCAGATATGGTTTTCAGTAAGGTTTTTTTGCTCGAGTTCCTGCATTAAAATGTTTAGAAAATCATTTCTCATTATTCCACCATATAAATATATGAACTGAGGACGGCTGACCATGATGTCAATTTGGTCATAAAGATTGTTATAAAGCAAGTTATATGATTAATAATGGTGGTCTCTAGGAGCAGGGGCGTGGCCAGACTTTTTTTAAACTGGGGTGGCCCACCTGAGGTGCTGACTTATGCTGGGGTGGCATGACATTTGTGGGCAAATTAATTCTTTTTTTATACCTTTTCTATCCCCACTAGTGATTTGTAACAAACAAATGTAAGAAACACAATTTGGCAAAATTTAAATATTCTTAGCCTGGTTCTTGGTGGATTAAAAAAACAAAGATATATGCATTTAAAGTACTTAGGAAATTGCATGCAAGTTTTTCCTTGGACAGAGCTAATTGTTTATTTACAACTGAAAGTACTTCCATTAGCCTGCTGAAAACACAGAATAGTTGATTTGTTCTTAAGTCCGGCCACTGATTAGGCAAATAGCCAATCATAGATTTGGTTTGTGGGGTGGCCATTCAGAAATCAAGGGGGGCCCATGCCACCCCTGGCCATCCATCTGGACACGCCCCTGTCTAGGAGTATTTATGATCGGTTCAAATGCTAAAAATAATGTTTTCTCAACTCTAAAACAGTTTCGGCAGATGGCTGTTCAACATGAGTCTGTTTCTGTTCGAGGATGCTGTGCTCATTGTGGGTCTTTGAAACAAGGCTTGAGATTGCATTCGTTATGATTTGATGCTAAACAAATAATATTAATCGATTGATTTAAGTTCCTCCTACAGAATGACTCCGACTTTGAAGTTGACAGATGTCGTTTCCTTACGCGAGCGATGCAGCTTTTTAACGTGTACAGTTTTGTTTGTATGTCTGTAATAAGATGGTATTTGCACTTAATTGTTCATTTCTCTTGTGCTGTAAATAATTCTGTAAATGTTCTGATGTAAAGTGAAAAATGTCTCATAATTTTATCAACATGTCCTGAATTTTTACTCTGAAGTGTTTAGGTTTATGTTTTGTCATGTGTACTACTCAGAGTTATCTTTTCATTCTGTACATATAGATTATTTTTCTGACCCTGATGAAGCCGAAACACGTCGGTCTAATTTGTTAATAAAGTTGATCTTCTTACTACAAGTGTTGCTCGAGCAATTTGACTTCTTCTAAGCCTTTCACTCTTCATGCTCCTTGTCAGTTGATGAAGTTTGTGCCAGAAAATCTTGTTTTTTCTGACCTTTCCCAACATTTCATTTCATCACTCATCAGTGACTGAACACTTCTTCTTGCTGTTTTTTTTAAGTACATAGACATCAAGCAGAACCACAGCAGTAGTTTTTGGTGCTTCTTATATAAATTAACTAAAATGATTTACTTCCATTACAAGTGTTTTGCTTCTTTATGTCTTCTTTACAGTCCTGACTTTACAATCCTCTGTGCTTCTGAAGTCTTTTTGAGTCAGAGCAGATTACCTTGTTACCAATCCTGACATCTAGTGGACAGGAGAATGTACTGCAGAAAGTGAGGGCTCATCATAGTGAAAGCAATTTTGTGATAGGCCTACAAATATTTATGGAATAAAAACTATTAAAAAAAAATACACATATCATCAATCTGGTTTATTTGTTTATTAAGTATTTTTTTACCCCAAAAAATAATATAGCCATAGTTTTAATTTACGTGATGACATACCAGTGACACAAGTGATAATTACTGCTTATCGTTCTGCTTGTTTGGATCGGGTTTGTTTATTACAGGAATATTAATTTTACTTAAAACTTGACTGGGAAACAATAAGGTGCTTCATGGTAAAGCAAATGTATTTTTTATATAATAAATCATTTGTAATCATTTTTTAAAATGGAAATTGATGTGGAATTTTAATTTGTCAACTATTTCCAGGTGACTTAAATAATTTATTTTGGTCATGTCCCCACTCCTGTATCTTTATAAATTAGACTCATAATCTTATTTTTCTACATGGTGACTTAGTATGTTCTCTTTCATATACTTACTCACCTTTCAAAAGGGAGTAAGTAGGACTCAACAAGTACAAGCCTACAGATAAGATCGTAAAAGGATTATTCATAGAGACACTGGCAGAAATGATGGTGATGAACGCGGGTTGGAGGGCCCCCGGATTGATGGACTTTAAAACGTGCATTAACTCATCATCAGAGTAATCACAGATAGCCAGAAACAATAGCGACCAACAACAAGTACGACGACCCAGCTCACCCTCTCTCTTCCACTGAGAGTTAAATAAATACAACATCTCCACCCATACCCATGTGAGCCACTATCCCCCTACTCAATATAGTCCCACATTAAATGATATGATAATCAATAACCCAAAACACCAAAATATAACACACTACATACCTTAACCTTAAAAACTGGGTCAAATATACTTAGATTGATCCATGTCTCCAAACATCTCAAAACATGAGACACAAGTGCAGTCAAGAATAAAATGGTGTATATTCTGCTACGTTATGTTTATTTAGAAAACATTATTTACATTTTTTTTAACTCAAAAGTTTAAACATGAAAATAAACAATAAGAGGAGCAACTAAAAATACCTGATGACCAGGGAAAATTTCAGACATTATTGATCAATTTTCTTTTTTTTTTTTTTTTTTTTACTGTGGCAGCGATTAAATGATTTAACGTAATTGCACCAGAGTTAGCTAAGAGCTCATTTGCCTCTGTTGTTCATGGGCAGGGAGACAAAGAACACATAACAGCAAGTACATTTAGGAATCAACAGAATATGTAAAAAAAAAAATCAAAAAGGAGGAATTTCTTTATACGCTTTATTTTGATGCTTTTGAATGAGTTTGTGGGTTTATTCTAAGTCAATCTTTGACTTTAATTCCATTTTTGCAGACTACCTCAAAAAAAAAAGTTGTTTGCACCAGCCTGTTATAAGAGCAGTGTCGCTCTTTTAACTCAAGGACAGGAAACTGTGATTGAAAAAACTGATCTGATGACACATTGCACATGCACATTACTGCAGGATGTTTTAAACCTAGCTGCTCCTGATCTTTACAAGATAATAGGTACTTTCTTATAAATATGAATGTACCCGCGAGGAGTTGGTGGTGTGCGCTGAGGCTAGACGAGTTAAAAACAGTCAGTCTAAAAACAAAAGGTCAAGATAAACCCGACCTCTTTAGGGACTTTCTATTCATGCAGATGCAGAAACCTGCAGCTTAACACAGGAAACCTTTGAAGCACGCATCATGTGGTTCAGTTTCTGTTTCTTGAGAGGAGCAGCACATTCCACAAGAGAAGGAGTAGAATTACTACCAGTTCTTCGTAAGAAAATGAATTTCACAACATGTCAGCGAATCAGTTTTGACTTTTCAGGCAAATTCTTGCCTCCTGTTTACATCTTGGTGTTCATCATCGGCCTGGTCGCCAATGGATGGGGATTGAAGTCTTTGCTGCACAACTGGAAGAAACTGGGTAACGTCAACGTGTTTGTTCTCAACCTGGGACTCGCCGATATTCTGTATCTGCTCACTGTTCCATTTGTGGTGGTGTACTACTTAATGAAGAGTAAATGGATCTTTGGAGAGGCGTTCTGCAAGATAACAAGATTCTGCTTTAACGTGAATTTGTATGGCAGCATTGGATTCCTCACCTGTATAAGTGTATACAGGTACCTGGCGATTGTCCACCCAATGAGAGTGATGGGAAGAATAACTGTCAAGCACTCAGTGACTATCTCAGCCTTGGTTTGGACTATCGCGGGTGTGCTTAGTCTTCCAGACATGTTCTACCCCAAACATCGTGACAGAGACACTCTCAAATGCTACGATACCACCAGCGACAACCATGTGGAGGAGTACCTGAAATACAGCCTTGGGTGGACCGTCAGTGGGTTTTGTATTCCACTCCTCATCACACTGGGCTGCTATGGGCATGTGATTGTTCTCGTCTGTCGCACAAATACCATCGACAAGGTGCTGAAACAGAAGAGCTTAAGGTTGTTGTTCATCTTGATTCTTCTTTTCTCTGTTTGTTACATCCCTTACCATGTCCTGAAAAACCTCAACCTCTGGGCGAGAGTCCTGACCAAACAGGGGAAATGTCGTGGATGGTTTAATGGAGTCTACATTGCTCGTCAGATAAGTCGTGGCCTCGTGTGTCTGAACAGTGCTCTCAACCCTCTGGTGTACCTCCATGGCCATGAAGATGTTAATGCTCTGCTCAGACGACTGCTCCAGCGGGTTCGTCGGATGTTTAGCCGCACGTCTCCTTCGTCGAGCTTCAACAGTGTTCCAGTGACGAACATCACACATGACTTTTAAAAGAAAGAGAACGCTGATAATTCTGTGTAAATGACTCTGTTAAAATGTGTTGTATTGCATGCCTCTTACACATTTATGTCCTAAGTCAAGTTTTATATATATAAAGTGTTCATTAAACTGTTAAAAAAAAGAAGAAGTGCTGTTATGGGGGGGCCTCTGTGCTAAACTTGGTCTGTGGTTCATGAAGAGGAAGTTGATGGTGTTAATAAAAACAGGATGCAAATTGTACCAGTTTCATTTTCTGCCACACAGCTGCCCCAGATGCACTTCTGAGGGAATATTGATAGTAATTCTAATGGAAATATTAAATAAAGGACGGGTGATTATCATTTAAATTTGCTTCTTGGTTTTTATTTGATGTTACAAAAACAATTCTCTCCAGCAACGGTTCTCTGGAATTAAATGATTTGCAAGATTTTTCTGAGCCTCCTTTGGTCACCCATCTTGATTTTGAAGCCATCTTCGGCACACTTACTTTTTTTTTATTATTAGGTGCAATAAAGTGACAAACTGGTGATATACAAATGAGGCACAAAAAAAACAAACAGACAAGGTCAGGACAACGACTCCAAAATACAGTAAAAAATAAAAATAAATAAAAATAGATAAGACAAATAAAGACAGCAAAATAAGACATCAATAGACACACATCATACTACGAACAGAAAAACTACAAAACTATATGAAATACCTAAGAAAGGATACAAAAAGTGAAAGAAGCGATAGAGAGAGAGAAGGGAAGGGAGAGAAGGTGCTTAGTAAAGGAGACTTGAGAGGTGGAAGAGAGTTGAAGAGTTGAGCAGTGGTATGTGTTGAATATGTTGATGTGAAACGATGTTGTGGTGTGAGAGGTGATTGTGGTGCCGGGGTTTTTGGGGTTGGTTTGAGCGTTATTGGAGGGGAGGGGAGGATGGAGGGAGAGGCAAAGCTATTATTTTTCTTTTCTTTTCTTTTCTTTGGCCGGGTCCTGCAGCAGCAGCCCCCAGACCCTCAGGAAGTGACTTGTCGCTTGCAGGAGCTTGTGTGTGTGTGTGTGTGTGTGTGTGTGTGTGTGTGTGTGTGTGTGTGTGTGTGTGTGTGTGTGTGTGTGTGTGTGTGTGTGTGTGTGTGTTTGTGTGTGTTTGTTTGTGTGTGTAGAGAGAGAGCCTGGGAAAAGAGAGAGAGAGAGAGAGAGGGCATAAACAACAGAGCAAACAAACCACCTGTATCCTGCTGAGGTCTTGTGTGTGTGTGTGTGTGTGTGTGTGTGTGTGTGTGTGTGTGTGTGTGTGTGTGTGTGTGTGTGTGTGTGAGGAAAGAGCAGTATATATATAAAAATGAAAAAGAAAGAAGAAACAGGGGTAATAATAATAAATATTTAATACTATTTATGATGGATTGGAAGTAACATGTAGCTGAAAACTTTGAAAGAAGGGAAAAACAATAAAAAAGAAAAGAAAAAAGAAAAAACAATCAAATAAAGAAAAAACATAAAACGTTAGGATGATGGTGTTTTGAATTTGAACAGATGATATGATGCCTGATGTATATCGAAAGGAATAAAGGAAATAACATCCTCTCACCCGTGTAGTGAACTCTGTGAATAATCTTGTATTGTATGAGTTGTAGGTTTGTATTGTTTGATATGGAGAATATGTTTCTGCAGATTTGGGTCCAGAAGTCAGCATTGGGAGCTATCTGGAGGTCAGTTTCCCATTTTGTGAAGGGTACGGATACTGTTTGGTCAGATTTCAAGATTATTTTGTAGATTTTAGATAATATTTTTTTCCTTGTTTTGATATTGATTATGTCTGTGGTTAGTGGTGGAAGTTCAAAGTTGGATGTGATAATATTGATTTTGCTTTTTATAGAGGAATGAATTTGATGATATTCTAAAAAGTGCTGTTCCCCAATGCCGAACTTCTGAATCAAATGAGGGAATGAGGCAAGAGTGTTGTTATGAAAAATGTGCTCGAGGTGTGCGATGCCTTTAGTGATCCATGCTGAGAGGTGGAGTGGTTTCTTGTTTATTGTAAAGTCCGGGTTGTTCCAGATGGGAGTTTGTTTGGTGTAAGAAATAGTGGTGTTAGTTATTTGGTGAAATTTCCACCAGGCTGTCAGAGTTGTTGCTATGGTAGGGATTTTGATAGATGAGATATTGATTTCTTTGCATAATGTTTGTTCATGTCTTTCCAGGAGTTGTCAGATTCAATGGGATTGGTCCATTTGTGAATGTATTGTAGTTGGTGGGTAATGATGTAGTGGAAAAAGTTAGGTGCTTGTAGACCTCCTTGGGGTTTGGGTTTTTGTAGTGTTTCTAATTTAATTCTGGCCGTTTTGTTTTTCCAATAAAATTTTGTAGTGATGGAGTCAAGGGATTTGAACCAGGATTGTGAGGGCTTTGTTGGGATCATAGAGAAGAGGTAGTTAATTTTTGGTAATATTGTCCTTTTTATTGTAGCAATTCTACCTATGAGTGATAGCGGTAGGGTCAGCCAGCGGTGGAGTTCATCATTTATTGTTTTGAGAAGGGGGTTGAAGTTGAGACTAATTAACTCTGTCAGCCTGGGGGAAATATTAATTCCTAAATAAGTGATGTTAGAGGTGCGCAGGGAGTTTGGTGGTGTTTTCGCTGCCACATCCCAACTATTTGGACTGAGAGGGAGAATAGTTGATTTGGACCAGTTTATAGTGTAGTCTGAGATTTTTGAGAAAGTGTTTATGAGATTAATGGTTTCAGGTACGGATGATGATGATTTTTGTAGATAAAGGAGAATGTCGTCTGCATAAAGGCTGATTTTATGATGCATATTTTGTGTTTTGATTCCTGTGATGCTTTGTTTTTGGCGGATGGCTGCAGCAAGTGGTTCAATAAAAATAGCGAGTAGTGAAGGAGAGAGTGGGCATCCTTGTCTCTTCGGCACACTTACAACGGCTGGTCAGTAGATGGACTTGCTGACGTCCACTGTCGAGGCTGATTTGAAACCGTCTATTGAAGTCAATGCATTTGGCAGAAAATACTTTTTAATAGCTGTCAACTGTAGGAATTACTCTGTATGAAGAGCAGACTTATTTAACTTCTTTAACCTTTATCATGCACTTAACCTCATCAAAAAGGGTTGAAGAGCTGTGGTCTTGTGTGTAGTGCTCTCAACCCTCCGATAACCTGAATGCTAAAGACAATACTCAGCTCACACACAACTACTCCTGTGTACTCATCAGATGTAAAGTTATCTGCTTCTGTCAAATTCTGGATGTGTACCTGTTGCAAACATTTTAAACACAAGTAAACATGATTCAAATTATTGTTTGAAAATAATTCAACAAAAGGGTTCCACACATCATTTTTATTTGTAATCATTTATATAAAAGAAACAACAATTTATCTTAAAAAAACAAAACCATTAAATTCCCATCAACCCCTGTCACCTTTTATTTTCTAATTCAGCCCTGCCATTTTACCATACAACTTGTGACAGTTCATGATCAAGCAGAGGGAAATATATCAGTAGTGTTAATTACCATATGCAAAATGACCAAAGATCAGAAAATGATTCCTGCAGAAACTGTGAATCCAAAAAAATTTGGAAGAAAGAAAAGTTCTTAGAGTTTATAATTCAAAAGCTTTTTCTTATATTCTTTTTTATTTTTAACACATTCTTACTTGTGCACCAATTTTCCCCTTAATCAAGGCCTGTTTATTGTTCAGTGGTTTTTGATTTATAACCCCATTCCCTAAAAAGTTGGCACCTTGTCTACAATCTGATTTGCAAAGACTTGAAATCCCATATTTGACTGGAAATGGAACAAATAAAACATATCAAATGTTGAAACAGAGCCGTTTAAAATAAATCAGCCCCCGTACAGTGTTTACCAGTGATGACAGTCAGGCCTATTATGTTTTTTGTACCAGGCTTTAAACATGTTAATTTACGCTTTAAAATCGGCTTTTTGGCCTGTTGTGTGTGACTTCTGGTGTTCCTTTAGCCAGCCTCAAGCCTTCACTCAATGAACTGCAGGACTTTGCACTTCCGCATTGGCTTCATTTTTCAAAACCGGATGTTGCTGCTTGGGACGGAATCCTGTTACCAATCTGTTAAGTTTTTCTTTAAGCAGCACTTTGTAAGCATTTGGGCATTTTTCTGAATTTATGGTTTTTGATGGTCCAAACGTTTTCATTGGGTGACAAGTCGGTACGGCAGGCAGGCAAGTTTTTTTTTTACCCTGATTGCTTTACTACAGAGCCATGCTGTTGTAATAGGACCAAAATGGGTTTGGCATTGTTTTGTTGGAATAAGCAAGTTGTCTTTTTGGCAGCATATGTTGCTCAAAAACCTGTAGCATAAATGGTGGTTATTCATGCCATGTGTAGCAGTGTAGCACAATACCATCAGGGGTGCTAGCTTTTGAACTGTGATAACATGCTGGAAGGTCCCTCTTCTCTTTAGCCCATAGAACAGGGTGTCCAGGATTTACAGAACCAGATTTTGACTTGCCACGTGTTACTAACTTGTTGCCAGTTGACTTTAATTGCAAGATGATCAATCAGGTTGTTTTTTTTAGCATTTCAAATACGTGTGGTCGGCATCTAATTCAAAATGGGTATATCTTTTTTCAAAAACAGGGAAATTTCTGTGATAACACTGTGCCTTATTCAATCAAATGTGGGGATTCTATGCAAATCAACACTTTTTGTTTTATTTGCATTTTAAACGTTCCAACTTGAATTGAGTTGTCTTTCACTCGAGTAAAAAATCTCAAACTTGCTTCATGTTATCTATTCTTTTTTGGATTTGGACTTCTTTGTCTTCACTAAACATCCAATGAGACATCTAAAGGAACCCCAAATTAATGTTGTAATTAGCAAACCACATGCTACAAAAAATGCCATCACATCTAGATTGTGATAGGCATACCATGGCATTTTGTATGACTCAGTGCGCAGATGTGCGGCACCCTTGTGCCTCATGACGTACTCTGTCCAGAAAACAGCATCGTCTATAGGTTTGATTGGTTTGTCATGATGAAGCTGAGACAGTTTGAGCATATTTTGTTTGTATGGTTTTTCTGGGTTCAGAATATTCTTCAGAGCATTTGTCAGAGACTCAACATCCATGGTTGTTGCTTCAACCATCTCAGCTGCTCCATGGGCCTTCATACGGACCATGTTGTCGAACTGGTCTAAGATCAGTGGAATTCCCAGAATCGGAACACCGTGGTAGATGGCCTCGTAAATTCCATTGGTACCTCCATGTGTGACGAACACCTTGGTCTTCGGGTGACCAAGAAGATTGTTTTGAGGAAGCCATTTAACCAGCATGGTGTTGTTTCCCAAAGTGGCAGGTCTTTTCCCAAC